TTTCTGATGGGGATATGTACATTATATTGACTGGACTGTATATAGTGATTTCCCGAATTTGAATTCCCTCCTACTTGTTTATCTAAAAGTAATCGTTTTCGAATGGGTTGGTTGAACGATTTCTCAAAGGTAGTCAAGCTATAGAGATGTTTCTCTCAAATCAGATTGCCACTTGTACGCTATTTTATTTGTGAAATTCCGTTTTGTCTTTTTATTCTATTATGTACGACCAATATGCCATAGTGACGAGGATGAATTTTCTTTTAGAAAGAACCTGGAAAGCTTGCATATCCATGTTAATCTAGTTTGTTTTAAACTAGTCTCGTCCAGTTGTTAAAATTTCTTATTTTTAGTTCTAGTCGTCGTGTATTTGCCAATGCCGGTCTTTAATTTTGTTTACTTTAATAGTTTATGATTTAATTGGATTTTGGTGCTTGTATATGGTTTTTATTTTGAGATAGGTGGTAAAAAATTTGTGAGGATCCTTTATGGTTGCCTGAACTAATCCCGTTTTATTCATTATCTAAGTCTTTTCAAGATTAAATGTTTCGCGTTGTTTGTAGTTAATTTTTAAAATTCCTGAATTTAAACTAGTTAATTTTACCTTTTTGCTATTATAATAAGATATAGATAGAGAGGATGAAATGATATATTATTGATGTGATCCGAGTTGAGTTTCAGAATTACTTTTGTACTAGCGGAAATCAATATTTTTGTATGAGATATTAATATGGCAGAAATTATATATTGTTGTAAGGGTAATGGTGGTTCTATTGGGGCCATAATACTTAAATTGAAGAGTGGTAGCTAGATTTATTAAATTTTGCCTTGAGATTGTGTTGCTCCCCAACCGCAGGTTTGCTATTTAGTTCACCTTATAGCAGATATTATGTTATTTTCAAAATTCAAGTATACATTTTTCTAGGGAATAGCTATTTGGAGGTTTATACGCCATATAATGGTTATGTCTTTCGTTATTTATTTGTTTATTGCTATGGTTTTGGTCGTTGCTCGTAGGACTATTAATTAACGTATGTTTTATATCTTTGTGTACTAGTATGGCCACTCCTCCTGCGCGTAGTGCACTGAGCCTAAACGAACTTAAGTAATACAAAGAAGGGAAAATATGTTTTGAAATGAAAATGTGTATGTTTGTTAATTAATACATTAATTAGGTTTGTAAAATAAAAATATTTCAGTCATAAAGAACCTCTAAATCATGCATTATTTTATGGGCTGTGTGAGGCCCCAGTGTCCCATTTGTGTAGCAAACTGGTAGTATGCCGGTTGAGAATCAGGAAGATGTTGACCCCGACAGGGCGAGTGCGCTTGGCCCGCAATGTTCTCGCCCGACATGGATGCAAGGCAGTAGCGTAACGAAATGAGCGAGGCCTACCCCGCAAAACTTTTATACGGGGCCCCTTTACAAAAGTATACAACAAACATACGTAGTGTTGCACCTTAAATAATAAAAAAATCCTTCGAAAAATTCGTATTCATCAGTTTATGATTACCACATAAGAAATCAATTTTCCCTAACAGATTATAGCCTGGGGCCGCCCACATGGTGGGCACGAACGTTAAGCCACTGCAAAGGACTTTCATGTTTGACTAATGGCTTTCCGCGGGCCACGATATGTACTTATATGTTCTTAAAGTGAATACCACAATACTAATAAAACAATAAAATCAAAGTGATTAATACCACAATATTCCTAAGTGGCGTACATGCGGCCCGCGGGCCGTCAGTTGGACAGCGCTGGTTTAGACCCTCAAGTGCGCAGGGAACGGGGCTCCGCGAGCCGTGTGTGCGAAGGGCCTGGAAAGGCTTTCGGCTGTTCGGGTGACGCCGCAGAAAGAGCAGTGATTTCGACGTGTCGAACACCCTATCGTGGTCTTCTTCAGGGCTGCAGTGATCTCAAACGTCGGTATCACTGCGTCGAGGGATGTGGCGTCATCTGGGCAGCCGAGTGCCTCCACATGACTGGTCGCGAACGCCTACGATTACGAAGGGTGTGGAAGGCAGTGTTTGTGTGTGTGTGTGTGTGTGTGTGTCGGTGAGCCGGGGAGGCGGCGGAATTCGACGAGAGCTTCGAGCTGGGGTTAGCGAGGCCGAGGACGTCGAGCACCGTGTGGACAGCAGGTGGTGTTGCAGGGACCACGTGGCTGTGAGACTCGCAGAAACATAGCGCGCTATGCCTGCAGTATGCGATAACCCAGCAGAGTTTAAATCCTGTTTTTTTTACTCAAGGTAGAGTCGCCATTTAGGAATATTGTGGTATTAATCACTTTTATGTTATTGTTAGTATTGTGGTATACACTTTAAGAAACATTTACATTTAAGTATAGTTTCTCCGAAGGAGAGAAATAATCTTTACAACTTCACTCTAAATAACGATATATCAATTTCTTGCGTTTAAATTTCTGTTAGTTGCAATCTTTGTTTCCACGTGTAACAAGCACAGTGTACTGAGCAATCGGTGACGAAGTGCTCCGCATCTGCGAGGGGTCAGGGGAGAGGTGAAGTAAGCGAAAAGATTTAGTGCGAAGGACACTCGAGGCTTACTGGAGACGCTCGCAAAGTTGCTGAGACGCGTTTCGATAATTGCCTTCTCGGCACTCTATCACACAAGTGATGATGCTATTTAATCTTGAGTCATCTTACATGTGTAATATCTTGATTATATCTTGAGTCATTTTACATGTGTAATGCGTTTTATTACAAAAGCATGTGTTGCTTTTTCTCGTCTCATATTTACTACGGGAGCATCATGAGATAATTTACTCTCCGACAACTAGACGTTATATATTACAAAGCAATATCACCTTCAATTTCACACGTTTAAAATTATTCATATATGTGAGAATGGAAAATTTGGCCATTTGACATTAACAACCCACATATTTGCGGGCTTCGAGTTCTTGGAACGCGCTGGACGTTGAGCGCTTGGAGTAATCCTCCATTAGGTCTATGTTGTCAAGTCTCGTCACGCCGCGGTCACACAGTGGTTTTTACTTTCTCCCTACGAAGTAGAGAGTATTAAGAGGTGTCAGGACAAAACACGTCAGAACCAAATCAGAGCAATTCCAAGGTCCACCATATGGTTCGTCCACATGAAGTAAAAAAAGGTTCGCCGTACGTTCAAAAACGAGCCTTAGATTTGTAATTCTCAGCTATTCGAATACACGCATCAACATTATTTTTTCGACTATTCTTAGAACAGAGGAAAAGTACCAAAAGTGCGCGCGGCGATGGTGTAACGGTTAGCGTATCGGACTTTTATACCCAAGTTGACGGGTTCAAACCCGATTTAAGGGCGAAAAAATCCTTCGTACGCCTTCGTTTGAAGGGGAAGTAAAGCCGGCTGTCCCATGTTAGTAGATTTTCTTGCATGTAAAAGATCCTCGAGCTAAATTCAAATCGCCTGTTTCTCGCCCAAGAAATACCTCCTTTCTCTGCTCTTTGTGAAAGGAGCGTAGCGAAATTTGTGTGGGCAGATAGAAGAGCGGGCCTGATGGTTCGAGACTCTCCACATAAAATTAGACGTTAATTCAATTCAATAGTCGAAGATGTTAGAGGAGGAGGAGCAGTACCACAACTACAGTGACGAAAATACGACTGTGTATGTGTAAGTATATCTCTACTGAAAGCTGAGACAACGCCTGGCCACCTGCTCAGTTTTTTGTTTGCGCGTGTGTGGACCTCAGGCTCTTCCACAAAGTTTAAACTTCATTATCTTCTTCAGTTGACGTTTCAGGCAATGCCCCCTCCGCCACTTCCAAGGCCATCCAGAACCTCTTCTTCGCCTGGTTTGCATTTCATTAATTGCCATTCCAATGGTAGAACACGTTCTTTCAACTTCCACTTGTATTGCCTTTCCTATCAGTTCGTGATGAAACTTTTGAGTTCTTTCTGATACAGTAAGTCTTTTTTTTAAATTTATCACATACTTTCTGTAGTCGCTTGTATTAGATATATACATTTCCTGCTCTTATTTATTGCATTACTTTCTTCATGGAAATCGATCCTGTGCTGTATTATTAAGCGCACTTTGCTCCATTTCGAGGTTGCTTCATATATTATTGAATATACTGTATTAAGAAAATCACTTGATTCACTGACGAAGGTGTTCAACATGTTCCAAATAGTGGTGCAGATGGCACAGATTTCCTCGTACTAGTTAGTTTTATAATTTCTTTGACCTGGGCCAGCATTTTCGTCTTGCCCCATCCTCCTGCGAGCTGCCATTATAGCCGCCCAAAACTCATTTTCTAAAGTTTTCTCAATTTTTCGGTTTTCTAATGATAGACCTGAAATATTATTTTAAGGGCCTTATAGTAGAGTAAAACCTCGTCATACATGGAAATTTACGTACAAAAATCTGACCCAGTTTTTCAGAAAATATCGTTTAAGCGTCGGACCTAAGGCACCTTTATAGGTGTATTTCACTCTATTCTTACAAGATTTAAAGAAAACCAGCGGTGCTTCAAAATGTCATAGACTTTCTCGCACTAGCTTGTTTTCTAATTGCTTCCGTCTGGGCAAGGTTTTTCGGTCTTGCCCCCACCCTCTTGCCAGTTGTCACCTATCGCCGCCGAAAGTACATTCGTTTAAAATGTTCTTAATTTTTCAGTTTCCTAACGGTAGAGCCGAAATATTATTTTAACAAAAATATAGAAGTTCAAAACCTCGACCTATACGTAAGTGTTCGTCAAAAATTTGGAGCCGTTTTAAAGAAAATGTTGTTTAAACATTACTGTAATTGCAACATTTGAAACACTTTTTCACACAAAATGTATGAATTTTTAAGAGAGCGAGAACGCTAACCACCGAGCCACCCGAGAGGTTTGCTTTTATACCAGGGGGCGTTAACTGCAGTCCTGAGGAAGCTCAAACTTCTAGCCTTCGGGGGTTGCGGGGGCGGGGCCGCGTGGGCTCCCAAGGTCCCGTGCGCAGAAGCGCTGCGCGCGGCGCGCACTGCTGCGCTGCGCAGGTATAAATGGCGGCCGCGCGTCGCCTGCGCGCAGCTCTCCGCCCGCACCCGGCCATGCATCGCCCTCGCCATCGCACAGACGCCCGCGGTGAGCACACGCAGCTGCAGCATGGCGCATTTGCTATCATTAGAGCCCGGACGAACAGACATTTAGTTTACTAGAAAGGCATTTCTTCTGGAGAAAGTACGGGCCCAAAAAGCATTTATTTTCGCTAAAAAGGGGGTCAAAAAAGGCTTGAAAACAATGAGACGAGGCTGAGTAGACTTTAGAGCCGCCACGAATGGAAATTGCCAGATATGGTCCCCCACCTATATCGGGATTCGAACCTGGACCTTTCGGTTAACAAATATAACTAATTATACACACGTATACTAAAAATAAATACTGAACAACTAACAAATTGAAATTAAATATTTTATTCAGGCTAATTTACTGAGTCTCATCACTTACTCAGTCAACGTTTTATCCGTTACATCACATCCACGAAGAAATTGCCAATTTATAAAGCGCGAAACCTGACGAAGTGTAGACAACGGGTAGAGCAACGCTGTGCTAGGCTCAATGGTCAAACGCCTACCAGTTTGAATGAGCTCGTTGACTCAATACGATCTATTTTAATAGAAAATTTTAATATAAAAGAATTCTGCAAAATTTTCTTCACGTTTGTGTAGTGGATACATTTCTTGCCTCCGCCGCTGACTGCCTGTTACCAACACAAAACGGTTCAGCTGATTTTCTCCAAAATTGATATTCCCTGATTGAGATGAACGATCACGTGGCTTTAGATGTTTTCAAACGGATATTTTGATTTTTGGGGGTACTTTAGGTGAATTTTCAGAAACATTTTCATAATTTTCTCAAAATTGGTACCAAATTTTAATTTTGGTTAAATTTTGGCATCGTGTGAAGTAAAGAACGCGTTAGAAAATGGTGCAAATCTCATTTTCTTTGAAATTCTAGATTTTTTGAAAAGTGCATTTTTGGGGGCATCTTTCTTTAACTATCATATTAAATACATATTTTCTTAATGAAATCTGTTCTTTAAAGACAGAACTTGAAATAAGGTCAAGTACAATATTTCAAAAATACGAGTAGTTTCAATGTATTGTTGCATGAAATGTGGGCACTTTTTTAAACTATTTTTTTCTGAAACGGCACCAAAGTTTTTCTTTAAATGTTCTCCTTGTATGCATCTAGGGACAGTAAAGAATATGGGGTCACTTCCATATTCAGCAATCTCTATATTTTCGTAAATTGCATTTTAAAACTATAAAATTGAAGATTAATAGTTTTGTCTCAGACCACGTCTCAGCCCAAAAAAAGCTCTTAAGAAGGTATTTTTTAACGAGTAGTTTTTGCATAATTTGTGCTTGAAATTAATGCAATTTATAAAAAATATTTTCTAAAAAACGCTTCAATTTTGTTTCCCATGGAAAGAGAAAGGGACGCTTTAAAAAATAGATCGGGTCTAATTTTCGTTGAACTGACTGAATTTTCGAAAATTATAAATTTAGAAATAATGCGAGAAAGTACATGCTAATGTAGCACCACTAGTATTATCTGCAGCGATTTTGTGATTTTTCGTACATTACATCTGAAATTTTAGGAGGGATAGTTCTTTGTTCATATTAAAATACATTAAGCATTTTACGTCTATTTTAGTATTAAAACTGCCAGTATAACCGTTCAAATTTTATTAAAAAAACAAAGACAATACATATCTTACAACGCTTTACTTCACAGGTTATGTTGCCGTTCTCAAGTGCTTAAGAATCATTAACGGGATTTACGAATCCTTCATACGTAATTATTCTATTCACACGGATGTTTTAATTGTACATATTTTACTGACATTGTATGACACTGAATACCTAATAAAATACAAGACACTTCCAACTGTATTCAAATACCAGACCGAATCGTTGAAATCTACAGTTTAATAAAAAGTTTTGTTATGTGATATGTGTAATTTTACTGCCTGGCCACTTAGGAAGCGAAAAGAAAGTGTTATAATGATGCGGTGTAAATCGACGATTTTTCAGGAGAAAAAAGTATTATGTAGCCCATTTAACAAAAAGGTGAATAAATCGTTTTCATTTTTGTAGTTAATTACTTACTCTGACGCGGTGTGTAGTTATAATCCACATTTCGCGGGTCCTTATTTTCGAAAAATCTATTGAGGGGGAAACACTTTAATCTACTCTTTCAACGATTTTCTCGACTGGTCAACTCTTTTCTCCAACAATGACATTCCCTGATCGACCTGGCCGAAAATGAGGGCCTATGAGTGAAATGGATATTTTAGGTTTCAAGGGTACTTTACATTAAGCCTCAACGTTTTAATTTTTTCCAATAATAGCTCCAACTGATTTGATTAAATTTTTTCCTCGTTTAGTGAAAGAGCGTTTAAAAAAATGGCGCTGGTACCATTCTTCGTTGAACTCAAGATTTTCAAAAATTGTAAAAACATTTTCGGCGTCAATATTGAAGATACAGATTTATTTCAGTAATAAAATATGTTTCTCAAAGACAGATATTTAAATTAGTAGACCGTAATTTTCACGAAAGATTGCGCAATTTTTAAACAATTATTTTTTCAAAAATAGCGCCGCATTCTTTCTTTCATTTTGTCCAGATCCGAGTAAAGGATAGGGTTCCAACTTCAAGACAGTTTCTTAAAACAGTTCATTTACATAAACTGTCTTAACGTTTGTATAAATAAACTGTAGTAACAAACTGTCTTTAATCCAGTTGGGACTTATTCTTTAATGTGAATGAACAACAGACAGTTTATGCAAATATAATACAGATTAAAGGCTGCTTAACAATTGCCCAGATCTCAATTTAGTTTAACTCACTGAATTTTCGAAAATTCAAAATGTTAGAAACAATGCTAGAAAGTGTGTGCTGTTTTAGCATCACTATTTTTATGTTAACCCCAGATTAAAAAGGCGACCTCTACCAAGCATTATGCAAAGGAGTAGTCTGGCAGGCTACTTTGGGTAAAAATAAAGAAAAACCCATTTACACAATAAAACACTAAACTTAATGGATTTAATGTGTATGGTATGGAGTTAGAAAATACATTTCAAAGGGTTTCATAGAGACACCTAAATGACTTGACTCTCATATCAGACACTTGCTTTTGCTGTCCACACATGGCTACTGAAACGTCCGCAGAAGTGCCTCGACACATCCTTTGTTATGATCGCCATCGTTCTATTTTGATTGCTAAATGTTCATGACAACACTTTAATGCTACAAATATTTTGTTTTCATTATTTTCAATATTTGCCAATAAAGCTCCAAAAATATTACTGACGCAACTTACAAAGGCGTGCGTAGTCAATTGGGCGAATCGAGTTAAAATGGCGTAAACCGGAAGCAGGTATGCGCCCGCCGATAGTGTATTTTACTGGCTAGGAATTTCAGAAACGTGGATTGAGGGGAAGAGGGAACGACGCCTTTGTAATCTAGAGTTAATAAATATTGAAGGTTCAAACCACTTTCACTTGTTTACATCTCTCTCTCAAATCTATTTTTCAAAGAACACTTTCAACCAAATTTTAGGATAGGAATGTGTGTTTATTAACCTCATAATATTGTAAACCTCTCAAACTACCGAGTTCATATTTTAATTCAGGAGTCTTGTAATAAGAAGAACCGTATTAGTTATATATTAATTTTAAATATTTATTTTGAACTTAAAGGGCTTAGGGCAGTAAGATGATCCAGAATTTCGTATATAATATCTTAATTTTGGTAAAAATATGGGTTATATTGTTCCTAACCCAAAACTTTCGTAAATGAACAAAAATAGAGGTGCTATAACATCACACTATCTCGCAATTTTCCTACTTTTTCCTGTTTTGAAAATTGAGATATTTCAACTATAATTAGACCTGCACCATTTTTTAGCTTCCTTTACACTTACTAAGAGAAAAACTGAATTTAAAAAATGGAACAATTTCTGAGAACATTTTCAAAATGTTAAAGCTTCAAGTAAAGTACTCCCCAAAATCAAAAAATCCTTTTCAAAATATCTGGTTCTCCAAATAGTTTAGATCAATCAGTAAAAAATAATTGGGAGCAAATCGGCTGTGAGGAAATTCTTACTGTTTTACGAATTCTACGAATTCTATGAGGAAATCATTACTTGTTTTCGCATCAATAAAAAACTTTCTCATTATTCCGCATGTAGTAAGAAGAGACCGTAAAAGTCATAGGTAAGCCACTCATTCGATTTTGGTGAAGATGTAAGTTGTCTTATCACTTTGCCTTTTACATATCAATGATAGAATAGGGCCGTAACCTGATTAGACACAATTAGAACAACATGGAAAAAAATTAACATTTCCGAACGGGCTGGCTCCACGCCCTCCCATTGCGCTCTTAACGAGAGTGTGGCTGATGCGCAGCGCTGGTGCACGTGCTGGTGCTGCTGGCGGTGGGCGCGCTGGCGGTGGCGCAGAACGAGTGCCGCAAGTGCCCCAAGTACTACTCCCCCGTGTGCGCCTCCGACGGCGGCTCCTCGCCGCCGCGCGTCTTCGTCAACTACTGCGAGATGAACTACTACAACTGCTTCACCGGCGGATGTACGTACTGCATTCATTATCACATGCTTTACATAGAATCGTTATAAATGTCTTCCACTGAGACTATAACTACACAACTGCAACTGCTTCAACGGCAGATGTATGTATCTCATTCAACATCACATGCCTTTAATGGAATCATTATAGAACTCCTCCACTGAGACTATAACTAGACAACTGCAACTGCTTCACCAGCAGATGTACGTACCCCATTCAATATCACATGCTTTACATAGAATCGTTATAAAAGTCTTCCACGGAGACTATAACTACACAACTGCAACTGCTTCAACGGCAGATGAACGCTCTCCATTCAATATCACATGTCTTTAATGGAACTATTATAAAACTCCCCCACTGAGACTATAACTACATTACTACGCTACAACTGCTTCACCAGCAGATGTACGTACCCCATTCAATATCACTTGCTTTTTATGGAGTCATTATAAAAGTCCTCCACTGCGTCTACAACAACTGCATTACTTCACCTGTGTATGAATGTACCACATTCAACACACATGCGTTTTGTGGAATACAAGATAATAAGTACAAAGTTCTTCTAGGATGGTATTCCTAATGAAATTGGATATCGAAATAAAATAAAAATTGTATTCCTATTTACTTGTATATATATATATATATATATATATATATATATATATATGTGTGTGTGTGTGTGTGTGTGTGTGTGTGTGTGTGTGTGATCTTCCATTGAATTAATTGAAATATTACCCAATAATACACAGTTTCTAATTTGTATTTTGTTATTTTATCCTGCAAAGTCCATGCATTTCACCGACTAAATGAGGAGTTACTTTAGATTTTTATTATTCTGTTTCAGCCTTCACCAAAGTAAGAAGTGGCACTTGTTCCTGATTACGAAGAAATGATACATATCATCCAAGTTGGAAAATATGTTTAAAAATTAAATAATATTTTGTAAAAATATGTTAATAAATAAAATAGTTTTTTTGAAATTGTACTTTTATCTTAAGTAAGTTCTAATTAAGTAGGCAACCAACTGTTGCAAACTGCAACATTGGCTGTGCCTACCTTTAAGCAAAATCAAGTTTATAGGGTTATTATTTTACTATCTTCGAGCTAATGACTATTAACAGTGACTTGTAAATAATACTCAACAATGTAGAAAATTCTATCGTTCAACACACTAAAGTATGAATCAATATCCTACATTTAAAATAAATTCCTCGATTTGACATCCGTTTCACTTTGAATTATTTAAATAAGTATTTTAGTAAATCTGTTCGTTAGTTCTTGTTTCACGTTGCTTATTGTTTAATCAATTATACATTCAATTGTTTAATCTTTGATGCCTCCTCACGCTTCTGCTATGGAAGTGGAGTGGACGAACCCTGCGGACTCTGCTAGTGGGTCGTAAATACCGCAGGACTCGAGACAGAGAGACAGAGAGGCAGGGAGACAGAGGCAGAGAGAGAGGCAGATAGGCAGAGAGACAGGCAGAGAGACAGAGAGATGCAGAGAGAGCGACAGAAAGAGACAGAGAGAGACGGAGGGACGGAGAAACAGAGAGACAGAGAGAGAGAGAGAGAGAGAGAGAGAGGGAGAGAGAGAATCGAAATCATATTAAATGAGTTTGGGACTCCTTGAATGAAATTTTGAGGAAAAACAAAAAGAACAAAGTCTAATCCCTTCATACTTAGTATAATTTTTAAAAAAGCACATATTACAAATTACATTGATGGTAATCATGATCATCTGCATTTGTTATTCTTTTGAAACAATAAATAAAACGGTGACTAACACAATGACACAACTTAACACAGCAATGAAATATAATGAATCTTATAATGCAAGTCGGGAATAGGCACACATTACCTATTACATGTACAGTATTCAAGGCCACCTTTAGATGTGATAAAGTGAAAGTATAAATAGAGGCAACATAACATTACACAATAATTAAATATGAAATGAATTTTATTATACAAGCAAAACAGTGTTGTGACGTGATAAGAGTTCTTTTCAGTCTTCCACACAAATGATATTCAGTAACTGATTTCAGCTCGTTTTTTAGAAAATACTTCCGAATGTATGTACAATCTGTACAAATAATTTTAAAAAATTCCACAACAGAAAGTTGAAAAGAAGATAACATATATTTAAACAATAGTAGCGAACAAAGAAGCAATTTGGCTCTAATATTTACGTAAGCCAAGGTTGCTAGTGCATACATGGTAGATTTTCAAGCAGAACTGAGCAGGGAAAACATGAATATTTTCAATGTATTGAGTAACGAGAAATTATCATTGTTATATTTGGCTTTCATCAAGAGGACGACTATAAGGAATCTAAAATAATCCCCCAATTAACAAGTTCCAGAACGCATTCTGGTTCTTGTAGGGTACACTGTCCACCCTTAGAAAAGCGTGGCGGCGGGGAGGACAGAGGAGGAGGGGTGTCTTTAAGCTCTCCCTCAAATTACGCAACGCGCTCTGATAGAAATGAATAAAACTTACCGAAAGGCGATTTACATGACTCGCCCTTTGTCCCCCACCACATTGCAATGCCAATTTACTTTCAAAGACAAGTTTTCTCGCTTCGCTCGCCCGGATCCAAGTCACGGCGAGGCTCGGACCTTCGGCTCTAGCATTCACCATAAACATCCTTGAGTCTATTCATCGCATAATTACCAATTCACTCTTATAAGAAAGCACTTTTGAAAAAGCCACCAGAATTCAAACTGCGCAGTTGCCGCCGGAGCGACGCGAAATATCGGTTTAAAAAGGATTCCGTAAGTTGTACTGTATACTACACTTCAGCCAAGATTCTCTTTCGTTACCTGTATGACACGTTTTACAGTTTCAATAAAATTCACTTCATATTTCATTGGCCGAATCAGATCGTCTCCACGCACGCACTCGCTACCCTAACAGACTGTTCGTGTCAAGGTACCTCGGTAATAAGGGGTAGAGCGAAATGGATGGATGCGCAATGGCTTCTGCGCATGACGTCACTTTCCAGAACAACTCGCCGTCGCGCCCATGCAGCTGCTTGAAGACAACATCAAATAACGCTGAATATTCTAATATGTAGAAGAATATTTATTAACACTTACTCAGAATAAAGAACGACAATAATATATGAAATGAATTACCTAGTTTTCTGAAAGGAGCTTTTTAAATTGAGTGATAATCCAGGCATAAATGTTTCTAATACCATTCTGCAGGACGTTTTAAACTATCCTTGAGAAGCAATAGGCGCATATGATTTAACATTGTCTTAAGCCGTTTCTTGGAAAGTACGAAGTCACATTACATTTTATAGAATCCAATCACCTCCTAGTTATTCCGAAAAAAATTGCAAAATACGAAAACAAGAAAAGAAAATAATAAGCATATAAGTGCCATATAACTTTGTTTTGAAACAGAAGAAAATAAAGCCGGCCACTTTTTTGCCTTTCAGTTGTGATATTCAGCAGATCATCTTGCTTTGGCTTCAATATTTAAATGCCGTATCCTAATCATTACCCTTGTCTTAGAGTATAACTTTACCACTTGAGAATTCAAGATGAAAATTTTTGCGACAAAATTTTGCAATCTCCGTACCACATTACGGTCTTTGCATACACTGTACAGTCCACTGAATTGTGAAAATATAAGTTTAATCTCTTTTATTGTATTTTACCAATTATTTGTTGAGACCTCAAACTACCCCAAGACAATTTTTCTACCCAGTTATACGAGCGTAGACCTTCAGTTGTACATTCCGAAGTGGATATGATACGTGATAAGATGTGAGATATACATAAACATCTGGTTCAACAGCCACAGAACAATAACTATTTAATGTTGTATTTGTAACATTTCTGCTAGCTCTTATCTAAGAAAACAAATTTCCCAGACAGTCTGATTGAATCGAGATATGTATACGAATGTATTTGACGTTCTAATTGTTTTTTTTTTTCAAAGTTCTTTGCGACAAGAAAAAAGATAACAAATTGAAATATGTATCCTTTTTGGAATGGAAGTAAGGTGTTTCTTTTACAAAATCGCAAAAAATTCACAAGCAGCACAACATGCTTTCAGTAATTGTTTTTGAGCCTGCATTTGCGTTCCAAAAGTAATTGCAATAGGACGATCGTCATATTTTAGAGCTCTTGAATTCATTACGTGAAACACATCACATGATGTAAGATATTATTAAAAAAATACCTGAGCAACATGATTGGACAGTTGACAAGCAAGATGAACGTTTTGACAATCCTTTCCGAACACATTAATATGTGCAAATGACTTTCTTACTAGACATTACTATACTACTAGACTTACTATACAAGACTTTCTTTATAGAACCGATTATTTTTAAAACAGATTTCATTTAAGTCAAAAACCTCATTCTTCAATATTGTAGTTTTTACAATTTTCAAAAACACAGTGTTCGTTGGAAATTACACTAGTACAACTTTTCCACCGTCCGTTGATACAATCGTGGAGAAAACATTTGAAGACATTTTTGAAAAAATAATTTGTTTATTTTTTTCAATTTGCCTATACTACACACAAACGTATGCAAAAACTACTCATATAATTGAATAATTGTTGACGGCCTTACTTTAAGATGAGTCTTTGAACATAGATTTTATTAAGAAAATAGCTCTTTCTTGATTATTGTAGTTATAGAAAACACTGTTGACGTATTTACAGGAACGAAACAATGAAATAAAAGATATATTTTTGTTAAATTATCCAGTGCATAAATATTTTTTCCTGTGATCATGGAACATGAACCATTCCATACCTGGAATAGCTTGAGTACTGAGAATAAAAAAAACGTGGTTAGACTGGTTCTGTGATTTAATACTACTCTCCTCAGAGATCAATAATTTGTTTACATTGCTTATTGGATTCATATGTTATTACGTTTTCTGCAGATTTCAAGAAACGTGGAAAAATGCATCCGATAGAAATGTTTATAACAACTTAAAACCTTTTGCAATAGAAATTATCTATTGTTTTGTGTTTGAAGTTTCAGTAAGAAACAAGTTCTGATTTAGTATTCAAAAAATATAAATTCATCACAAAATTATTCAACTCATATTGAGGAACCTCAATATGAGTGTGGTATGACTTCGGCATTCAACAGATAAATGGAGCTGATGATGTGAATGCTTTCACGAGGCTGGAAAGATTCTTCGTGTTTATTGGAAAACGAGATCACTACAACAATTGTTAATGTAATATTTGTAATTCAAATGTCAAAATTAATCCGAAATCATCTGTTTTATGCCTGAAAAAGTTCTGCCGTTGACCAGTGTCAAGGCCGGCACACGGTACATTTTTCGAGCAGATTTTCGTACAGTTTCTGTACAGAAACTTCAAGATACCAAACTAGAAGTATAAAAGCCAAAAGTCGCACAAACACGTGCAGTACGTGTTCGGAATTCTGTATGAATTGCCACAAGATGCGGCTAGGTGGTCAACGCGAAACACCTGAATTGCGCCGGTCCTGTACGTTCAGTGGCGGTGTTTCTGAGCGTGCGTTCTGGTGTGATCTTTATGAAGTATTAATTAACCATGAAGAACATAGAGAAGAAAATAGAAAGGCAGAAATAGAGACAGAGATAGTAGTTTCTCATGATATCTTTTCACACAATCGCACTTTCAGTCATCCACAGAACATTGATTGGCCATAGTCATAGATCGGCTATAGATATATTCACAGAACTAGATTGTCCAATGGTGCCCCTTACAAGTGAAGCCAAGTAGAAGGTAAGATAGTGCAATTCTTGACTTCATTTATACAGGTACCACGAAGTCTACAGTAGTCACTTGTAGACTTCGTGACGGGTAGAAATACCAATATAGTCTTATAGTACTAAAAGTATATGTTTTGCTTGATCTTCATTTGTTTGGCAAGCATAGCCCTTT